TCTTTCCATCCATCCATCCATCCATCCATCCATCCATCCTTCTTTCCATCCATCCATCCATCCATCCATCCATCCATCCATCTTTCTTTCTATCCATCCATCCATCCATCCATCCATCCATCCATCCATCCATCCATCCACCCCTCTCACCCCTTTACATAATTTGATCTGAATACTAGAGTATTTCAGAATCTTGACTGAGCTGCACTTTTTTCTTTAGGTTTTCTTCCTGTTCATCTTTTTCTTTCTTTCACGCCTTGGAAATCTTCCCCCTTTTGACTTCTCAGCAGTCAAGAAACCTTGACTGAACACTTTCATTCCAAACTAAGATGCCAAAAAATATGAAGTAGCCTATCTCTTGGAGCAGATTTCTCTTAATTTTTGCACAGCATGTATAAAAGTGCACTGAGTTTGCCTTCTTGTTCAAAAATGTCTACTTGATTTCATTGGGAATTGTTCTTATAAATGAAGATCAGAAGGATTTTCTTCCTGCAGGCCTGATAGAATGAACACCTTTCATTACATAATAACAGTGGGGAAAAAGTACAGATTAAGAATGGCAAGAATGGTTAGTGTAGAAGAGTTTGGAAGGGGGGAAAATATCAAAACCCAATGGGTGTTTCCATAGAATCCCATCAATCTTACACTTTTGCAACTTTATAATGTGAATTTGGAGCCTGCTATCTCCATAATTTAGGAAGTTACAGGAAGCCGGCTGCTTAATGCAGAGAAATGCCCTATGGTGTTAAAGCATGAAAATGGTACTAAAAGTACAGCTTATAATTACTGAAATGTGCTTGACAAGTATTTGAGTTCAGCTGTGATTAGTAGGCACCATTTCAACTGAAAATTATTACCTCCTTTGATTCCAGCTATATGAGAAAGGATGAAAACCAAAGGAGTCCCTCAGGGCACCTGTACCTGTTTAATACTATTTCTGCAGGAATGCCCTCCATATGGGTTCCATTGTGTTTGTTCAGAGAGAAAATGGGTGCATACGCTTCCCAACTTTTCCCAAGCAAAAGTTCTGAATTCTTTAAGCTTCTGATTTTAGAATGGGGACAGTAGTTATAATGTAGACATGGATAGGAAGTCTTATTCAGATCTCATGCGTGGGGAGGAGAGACAAAGCAACTATTGTCTCTATCTCATTTCTTTGTCTTTTTGAAGAGTGATAATATTAGTCTGGTTTACAAAGCCTGATTACTAAGCGCACATATAGGGAGCATTAGCCTGCATTAACAGGGATCATTCTAACAAACTTTGAATCATGTTTCTTTTATGATAAGCATAGATATGAGTCAGATCCATAAAATGAAAGTAATGTGATATCATCCTACTATTGTTTGGATGGCAATAAGAACTGTAAAAGAATGTTCATGTGAATTTCAGATGAACCTGATCAGTATTGTTCTGTAGCTCATCTATTGAACTGAACCTAAATAGATCAGAATTGTCAAGCCTTCTTTAGTCAAGTACCATTATGAATGCTGTCATTCTTGATCTCTTCAACAAACGCGCATTGTGTAAATTGCAATAAGAAGTGTGCTTTGGATTAGTACTTTGAATCAAACTAGTTTGGAGATTTTGCCATGGAACAAAATTCAAACGTGCAAAATTTCAGGGGTTTGAAATTAAGTAAATATTTTGTGTAAACTGCCTAAATCCAAATAGAGCTCATTTCTTCCCCACTCTATCTCCCCCCCCCCGCTTTCTTTTGAAGCACTGGTTTTGCTTAGTATCTAGGTGGCAAAGCATGATTCTAATAT